GCGATACAATTTCGATTTAAGGGTTCTATTAAATCGTTCGACGATACTGGCTTTTTCATCTCCATGGGTAGAAAATTGATGAATCTCCTGTGTTTTCATCAATGTTTGAAAGGTCGGGTCGTAAAATTCTTTGCTTGCATCTGTCTGTAACGTCTGAGGTTTCCTTCCTTTGGCTTCCTTGATTATTTTTGCAAACATATCCGTCACATCTTTTCCTGTTTTCTTTTTAATCGGCCAGGCCCGCGTGTATTTGGAAAAGGCATCGTTCACGACCAATACGTATCGGTATCCCTTGTTGTGTTTGGATATGGTCTGTACTTCAATTAAATCTGCTACCCATTGTTGATCAATGTTGAACACCACCTCAGGTAAAAATTCTCCTCGGAGACGTCTGGGTTTGTGAAGCGTGTACGCCAATTTTTTTCTCTAATTCTTTTTTACCTTGAAAAATAGAGATCTTTTGAGCTTTGGCATACGGTGCCACACCACCCAAACTACCGATGACACCGGGTTCGTCATACAAGTCGTGTGATCCTCTTTCTTTTGTTTTCATTTTTTCATCCTTGATATCTTTTTTAATGTTCTTAACCATGATAAATTACACCAAAGTTTGAAACAATGGTAGGTGACCCAATACTTATAAAGGTACTACGTATACATACGATTCCGCGTCTTATATGCATACTTCCCATCATAGTATCTAATAAGCATCAAATGAAAGATATGGTCGTGTAGTGGATGTAGGTGTGGTTTCACAACAAACTTGAACTTTTCTTCTTCCATGTCTTCAGGAACCCATTTTAAGGGATTTTATGCGGCTCATCCCCTTCGTAGACGATACGTGTGATGCGATCGTAAAGCCACGACACCACTTGATAATGTAAGTAGCATAGACATTGACTCCACGAGGCAGGCATGATGAACTAATGATTTTTTTTTCATCGCCGACCCTTTTTATAATGCTTGACATTATCCATAATGCCTTTCGAAGCCTGTTTTCCCAGAAGTTTCCCAAGTGTTCCAAAACCTGGTGCAGGACCCGATAACAACATACTTGCTGCGTAAGCTAATTTATTTGTAAGAGAGGGGCCTCGACGAAGAATTCTCTTAACCATACTCACAGAAGCACCCCCACGTTGATTGCCTTTTCTTCTTTTAATCACTGACCATCTTACACGCCTCGTGATTGACAGAGAAAAATGACACAGTGTTTTTGGTGATACAACTATTATTTATTTATCCATACTATCTTCTAGAAACTGTACATCACAAGCAATACATTCTAAGTCTTTATCCGACAATCCTAAGCGTCCAGCTAATTTTCTAAACTTAGGTATACCGATTGACCAAGCAATTTCGACATGAACGTGCAGAGACATGTATCTAGCTTTGTGTTTCTACCCATCAACTGTGCGATTTCAAGATGGTCTGTACTTATCCCATCAACAAAAAATTAAAAAAAACTCGGAATTACTACTACAAACATGTGTATTTTTACATCTGCAAAAAGAAAAGTCTGAATGAACGCTATGTGTTTACATTGACAGTCACTTTATCGACATAGGGTTTGACTAACTGTACTACCCATAAAACGGTGTTCTGGTTTCATATAATCCACAGCCATTCGTGGCTCATTCACATCAAACTAGGGTGGTTCTCCTCCAAAATTGTCATGCATCGGTGTAGCAGGAACATTATCTTTACATCGGAAATCAGGATCATTCACAGGCAGAGCATCTATGACAATAGTACCCTTCAACTTATCCTTGGCTTATGACTTTGTATTAGCGTTAAGATATTTGCATTTTTTTCCGTTGCTAACCTATATGACAGATTCCACAAAATACATTTGACGCCTCCTTTTCACGGATGGCCGATCACAACTACAACGTAATGACATCTTCACGAAATCTGTCAAAAGGAGGATTTTAAAACACCGGAAATCTTCTGGATTTCTGATGAAATAAATTTAACGCAGTTACGTTAAGAGTTTAAGCGATATATTGTTATTTCTAATATGGTAATTGATTAAAAAAATGTACATTACCTCGATTGGACGGAGATTAAGTTTGAATATAATGTAGCAGGCGATATTACTTTTGTAGACAAGGATAATCCGTGATTTGTCTCACCTATTACATTTTCTCTATCTGCGTTGTGCCATGATCATCAGTGAAAATATTCTACGATAATATTTTTTACAATATTTAGATGAGGATTTTCAATTCTAAACGCAAGAGCGTACTTAGGGAAAGATCTACAAGAAAGAGTTTCTCATGAATACATTTTAAAAATTCTTTTAGCTGACTTCTACATAGATAAAAAATTACTACACATATATATTTCACTTCTACGATTATCTTAATAAACAATTAATGGGAAGTTCTGAGAATCAGTTTTTAATACTACATAATAAATTAATGGTTATTTTTCTCTTCCTGCTTAAGGGCTCTTTCGCAGTTTGGACAACGCTAGTTTGCACTTGAATCTTCCAAAATAATTGTTGAAATGCATTTCCTGTGAAAAAACTCCTTGCAGCTACGACATTTCACACAACGAGAAGGAGACTTCGAGTCTGACTCTTCCCTCGGCATTCTATACTCGCACATTACCGAGACCTCTTGAACAAAAAGTGGCCTTCTGTCTCGACACTCGGGTACTTTAGAGAGGGGAAAGGGGTCGAATGATCCACTCTCCAGGCTCTTTAAAAGATGTTGTCTTATCAGCTTCCTGTCAAATGTCAGATTAGAAGGATTGAGGCCATGTAGTAGCGAAACAAGAAAAGCAATAGCATAAACTCCACAGTCATTGGAATTGTTCTGGTGTTGCACATTTGGTACAATGACCTTAAAACTGGTTCCTTCCTCGTATATAATTGATGCAATCTGTTTCTGCACGAGAGCTGCAATTCTTCCCAAAAACAGGCTGTCGTACAGATAAACTACAGAAGGAGTGAAGCATCCTACAGTAGATACCAACACCCAATGACGGCTGCCAGTATTCAGGATTTGTGAAAATTGGCCTTTTTGAACAGAAAAATTAAAAATAGGCCCCAAAGTTGTATTTTCCAATCCTCTTGCATGAGGGAACTGTTCCCTCAGAACAGACTGAGCTGCACCTACAATATGGTCGGTGAGCCAGTCTCCAGTTGAAATGGTGCTAATGTGCTGTTCCGAGAGATAGAATTTACCGGCCTTTGTGGCGCTTCTGTGAGAGGTCTTTACAAATTCTACTTCATCATCTTTTTTGTTTTGCTGGGCCAGGTTTGTGTTCGTTGTCGCGTTTACTGTAAGGATGATGCATGTGTTTGCAGTGCCGGTTGTGCTCGAGGTTGTGTTAATGGAGGAGATGGTGTTTGCGTTTGCGGTGCTGGTGATGCATGTGGTCGTGTTTGGTGTGTAAGGGGTGCTTGCCTTTACAGTTTGATTTGCGTTTGAATTTGAACCATTAGAGTTATTTACGTTCACACTGCGGTTTATGTTTACTTGAGCCTCGGCGCTTGAGTTGGCATTCTTGATGTGTGCGAGTTTCGGCTGTTTGGCAGGCTGGCGTTCTATATCGTTTAAGCTGACGTTATACCCCCTTTTCATGTTGTTTGCTCTTTCCCCTACACGTCCAGTGAAAGGATTTTTCTTCTGAGATACTGGCAGCCTTTTATAGTCTACTTTCTTTTTTTTCATCCTGCGCGAATTCTTTTTCATAGTAGACTTCAGGAGAGGAGCTTCCAGAATGATACCGTCCTCCTTGGGGGCTGTTTTCTGCAGAAGGTCGAGACACTCTTCAAGCTTTTCCTGAACTTGCCTTAAACTCCCACCAACTTCCCACGCCTCTGCAGTGTAGGTCAGGTTTTTTATCTGACCCAATAGTTCACGACATTTTGCAGCATGGGTTCGGGGTCGTAAAGTCGATTGAGGTATATTTTCAAACTGCGACGATTGCTTCTGAAGATCGTGAACCTCGTCATGCACACATGGAGGTGAGTCGACTACTTTCCCATCGGCAATACCGTCGTCTTCTTCCTTTTCACCAGCTAAGAGCACATCTCTATCGACACTGAAGAATGGGGAATCTCGATATTCTTTTGGAAGTCTATCGAACGACCATGACGGGACGTGCTGGAATACGGCAAAAAAATGTTTGCATGGCAGCCGTTGCCTCTCCCAATCAAAGCACTCACAGCTTGGCTGCTTGGTCCCAAACATGACTTTGTACATCTTCTTCTCTTCGAGTCTACTTTGGCTTTTCACCAAAAACTCGCCATTCTCCATGTCAATAACTGTGACATTGCTACTTGGGATAGACTCTGCAAGAGATAGCCCGTCCATGGAATGTTTTATGATGTGGTGCGGTCGTTCTCTTAAATAGGAGGGGATGGCAGAGTTATAGCGTCGGAAACTTACTTGAAGTTTTGTATTCAATTCCACATACCTGAGACACAAAAAGGCCATCAGAA